GAGGTCAGTGCAAATTGTTGTGCCAACAGATATTTTAGATACTAAATGTGAGTTTTAGGAACTGAATTACACAACCTTCTATATATTGATACTAATGTTATTTATATCAAAAGTCTGCTAATCCAAACATCAATTATGAAGTCTGCCTGTATATTTTTAAATATTTATTTATGCATACAAGAACTGTGGTATAGGCCAGAGGTATGGGGAGTGAGAGGATTCACCAGAGACAGAGCGGGGAGCAGAACAGGCAGACTGACTGAAATACACTGCCAAGGGGAATAGCGGGTGAGACAGGAAAGGTCTGCCACACCATGTGGGTTGCTCCCTGGTTGGCCGGGGGTCAAACTTGTACTGCTGAGGCTGCGGATAACTTCACAGTGCTGTGCTTAACCCCTTGCACTCCAGGGAGGCCCTGACTATATATTTTCATAAGAAAAGGAGTGTTCTTTTCAAATGATACCTTTTGTTGTGTGCAAGTATTCTGAGAAGTTCATGTGTCCCTACCTCAGGATTTTATAGTTAAGATCCTTGATCATATCAGAAGATATGACCACATTGATGTCAGGCTCTTTTGGGGGGACATATGTGGACTCCAGCTCTAAATCATAGTCGTATCTCACTTTGGCCTGACCTTGAGATCTGGTCATTGGTTGATAAGACTTGAATCAAAAGGCAGAGGACCCAGAGAGGTCAACATCTCATGTCTGTGTCATCCTCAGGACACACTGACATTGACCCAGATTCTGGGGTGGGTAAGTACATGCCGCAGGCCTCATTGATCATGGGTTGCATGTGGCATGATCAACTATGTGTTTTTGAAAATTGCTCCTCTGCTGTAGTATGAAGAATGGATTGTGTGGAAGCATGAATGTGGTGACTATCACCCTCAAATATAAGACGATGGCAGAACGGACAGCTTTGTAGGTTGAGTCCTAACCCCTTGCGCCACCAGGGACGCCCTTCCTTAGGCATATGACCTGGTTATCTTGTTTTTCAGTAGAGCTTGCTAAGGTTGACTTGCTTGAGTCACATAGACAAAACAAAGTAACTTTTGAGAGACTATCACTGAGAGAGAATGGGAAATACCTGAAAAAGTAGACATAACAAGTGATAATGTGTAGCCGCTGAGTGAAGTCAAGGGTGAAAGCTGGGAAAGTAACCTATATGTCATCAATCCTGGAGGGTTTTACTGAATTAGAGCATAGAGACTTTGCCATCCATAATGCTCAATTTGAGTCATCACAGAATAATTCAATTATATTCACTATAGTCTGTGATAGAAGACAGGAAGTATGTGGTGCTTGCTAGAAAGATTTCCTTCAGAAATGGTTAAGATTTTCAAAGTTTGTACTTAGGGGATGAGATGCAGTTATAACGAAAATTAACATCTATAAAATATCTCATTTCCCAGTATGTCAGATAAATGAGATATTATGCATATAACCCTAGCATAAAAGAAATTCTCTGTTCCCCAATTATGTAAGAAAAGGGAAATACTGATTTGGGTATTCAATTCAATGTTGAAAAGCAGGTCAAATAAGTAGCATTTGAGGGGCCTTACAATTTCGTTAAGCACTTCTGTAACACATTATTTGCACGTAAGATTTTTTGGTGAGGATTAAATGATTGCTTAGCAGAGCCTAGCACATACTAATTTCTTGTCATTATGATGAGTTGATTTTATCCATTTTTCTTCTCTTAAATTTTTTTTGTCTTCATTAGTTTTTCATTACATATCTTTCATTTCTTAGTTTTAATTTATTTGTGCTTTTGTATGTCAAGCATTAAGTGGCACTAAATCAAATTCTTTGTATAGGCGTCCTTAGAATTTCCACAGATAGTCTCAACTGAGTAAAAGAGAACAGATGTTGGCAGTTGTTCTTTTTTGTGAAGTCAAACTAGCACAGGATAGTAAAAGGAAAACATATCCTCAAAATTCTAATAATAAGGAAAATTGACCTGTTTTCAGAAAGATAAGCATATAAAACTATCTTTAAAAGTGAAAATTGGAAAAATAAGCACCCACTTTTTATATAAATAAAAAATATAAAGGAAAATTAGTTATGATATACACTTCTCTCCATAATAAGCAAGAAAAAGAGCATAATAATGTCTGCAATTCTTGTTCCTATAACTAGTTGTAAGACCATAATTGATATTTACATCTACCTTTTGCCTTCTCACAGTAACTCATCTGTTTGGGTTTCTTGACCTAGTAAAGTGACCCAAAGTTTCATCACTAAAGGATCTGAGTGCTTAATTGTCCTGGCTTGAGTTGATACTGACTTTTTATACTTATGGGATCTGGGATCGTACCTGGTCAGATGCCTTTGAGTATGTCCTGGGTGTCACATGCAACAAGAAATTTATTTCTCCTTCCTTGGTAATTTTTTTTTCTTTGCCTTACTATAGTTGTGTGGGGACCCAAATTCCAGGTAATAGTCTCAGTTTCTAGTTTAGCAGCACCTTGATTGCAACCTGTGATATAATCATTCCTCTTTGTGATGGAGAAAGCAAAATACTTTGTGCACATTATTAAGTGAGAAGAAAAACATTGACTTCCTTCTCTTGACTCCTATCCATGTTTTCTGTTGAAAAAACCAGCATCCAATATTGATTCCTAGTCAAAGCTTGAGCGACATCCTCTGGGAACTGCAACCCACAGGCATTATCCCTCAGCTTGGGCTGTGGTTAGAGTACAGGAGGCCATCCCATCCATTTCAGGCTGTGTGTTGGTGAGGTGTATTGCAAGATGAGTAAGGTCCATGGTGTAAGCTCACTCATTTCTTTTGCTGTAAGTGGATTTGTTAATTAAAATTAGTGCTGTAAGGAATAGTGGACCATGGGTAGGGCATTCTGGAAACGTACAGATGATGATGGTGCCCAGATCATTTTGAGCAGATTGTACAGGTGAATGAGACACCCCACATCCCTAAGAGAGAAGGCTGCTTGGGGAAAGAGCAGCCTTTCCACTAGGAATCCTCTTTCCATAATGAAGAATTTAATCTACCTTTAGGAACTTGCAAGAACAAATCTGCTGTTCAGCACTGTTTACAATAGCTAAGCTTTGGAAACAACCCAAATGCCCAAAAATAGATGACTGGATCAAGAAGATGGGGTACATATACACCATGGAATATTACTCAGCATTCAAAAAAGATAAGCACATGCAATTTGCAGCAACATGGATGGCGCTGGAAGGGATCATGCTCAGCGAAATAAGCCAAAAGAAAAAGAAAAATACCGGATGGTCTCACTCATAGCAGGAATCTAGAAAACTTAAATAAGGGACCAGGAAAATGAATAACTATAAGAAAGTGAAAATCAGAATCAACAAAAAACTATGAAACAGAGACACTTTTTGGGGGTGGGGGGTGGGAGGAGAGGGATTGGGATCAGAAAGGGGGGGTTGCAACTGTGTGGGGAATATAAAAATAAAATTTATTATTAAAAAAAAAAAACAAATCTGCTGTTCATAAGATTGAGGGTCAGATCTCCCAAAAGGCAGTGATTAAGGACTCCTAGATCACCTAGGACTCTGCTAGAGGCTTTTATTTCAACATTCATTCCTTCTCTAAATTCTCCATTTCTGAGGTACTCACTAAAATCTTTTGAGCAATTCTCTTTTCATATTTCAGGTATGGTGGTATCTTTTTCCTGTAGTCTTAAATTTTCACTCTATGTTAGTTGCTGATACTTTTACTCAGCCATGTGTTCATTGATTTATTCACTCACTTCTTTTTTGTGAAATAAATTTTAGCTGCTCATTAAAATCAGCAGTTCATTGATACTCTCACCCACTCACAAGTGTCTCATGAAATTATTTTGTGAAATTTATGCAAAGGTTTTATGATTGGGTGATTTATTGTGTAGCTGAGAACATGGACTCTGGAGCTAAACTACTTGGATTCAAATCCTATCTCAACTTAGCATCATCTCCTCCAATTCTATCTATGTTGTCTCAGATGGCAAGAGTTTCACCTTTTTTTATAGATGAATAGTATTTTGACATGTGTATGTATCACATTTCAATCTGCTCCTCTGTCATTGTGCACTTAGGTTAGTTCTGTGATTTGGCTATTGTAAGTAATGCTGCAGTGAACATAGGGGTACCTGTATCCCTTTGAATTAGTGCTTTACCTTCTTTGTATAAATGCCAAGGAGTGGAATTGCTGGATCACATGGTAAATCTATTTTTAATATTTTGAGAAGTCTCCATACTGCTTTCGATAGGTGCTGGACTACTCTACATTCCAACTCAGAGTATACGTGTTCCTTTTTCACCACATCCTTGCCAACCTTTGTGTGAATTTTTGTTTTTGTTTTTTAACATGGCCCATTTTCAGTGGAGTAAAGTGGTATCTTATTGTGATTTTGATTTGAATTTACATGATGACAAGTGATATTAAGTGTACCTTTAGGCTATTTATATGTCTGCTTATTTTATCACAATTAAATATACATTTTACAAAAAATAAATCCTGACTCAAGCACTTAACAGCTGTGTGAGCTTCAGCAAGTTACTTAATCTCTCTGTGCCTGAACTTCTTTATCTAGAAAATAGTAATGGTAATAAAACAGCCTTTTGTATGGAGTGTTGTGAACAGAGGGTTAAACAAGTGTTCATATGTGCCAGCAGCTGAGAGCAGGGCCTTAGAGTAGTCAGTAATATAGGGGCATACGCTCATCAGACTTCTGGAGTCTATGGATGAAGGTATCTTTTTAGAAGCAATCAAAATTATAAATGTATTTAATTCATTCATTTTTTAATCTGGAACACAAATGATGGCCATTCTATTTTGATCTCTGTACTTACTAAATTCATGATTGCATATTCAAGAATTAAAAGTGTTTTTTTCATTTGGGAAAAGACAGGGTTTAAGACTTGGGGAAAAGCCAGATATTGTGATTCAATAATTCCATGAAATAGGAAGTACTTGCTTTTTTGGGACATGCTTTACTATTGTCTAAGTTATAACCCCATGATTGTCTTCCAGGTGTTATCACTAGTTATGGACTCTGTCTAAATGGCATATTAGTTCACAATTCCTTCAAACTCAGATGCCATGTTTCTGGATTTGCTGCTTGGGGTTTACATTCCTTCAGAGTCCACACCTACACGGCTAGAGGTTGTGCTTTGGGCCTGCAGGTGAGTATGTGAATTTGTATCTTGGGAAGGTATTTGATGTCACATGACAATGAATATCAAGGAAAAAGTGGGGGTCGGGATTCCCTCTCTGTATGACTAGCCTTTCAAGCAGGATGGGAAGATTTGTTTAATAAAATTTCATTTAAGAGTTAATAAAATTTTATATTCAACATAAATTTCAAGAGAGTACATAGGTCTAATGAAGGACAGAATCCAGATTTCACTGAAATTTGGAAATGCGGGGCCTCCTCGGTGGTGCAGCAGGTTGAGCCCAGTGCTGTGAAGCTGTCCGCAGCCTCTGCAGTGCAGGTTCGATTCCCGGCCGGCCAGGGCGATTCCCACATGGCGTGGCAGACCTCTCCTGTCATCCCTCTGCTCCCCTCAGCAGTGTATTTCAGTTGTCTGCCAGGTCTGCTCCCCACTCTGTCTCTGGTTAATCCTCTCACCCTCCCATGCCTCTGGCCTGTACCCCAGCTATTGTATACATAAAAAATAAATCTTAAAAAAAAATGAAAAAAATTTGGAAATGTAAAGTTGATCATTCAAGCAGACAGACATACAGTTTTGCCTATTGTGACACATTTAAAGTGGATGTTTTTCTTCCTAAAAAATAAGCCCAACAAGTTTATGATTTAAAAGTAAAAATAATTGAAAGTCCATAACAGCCATAATATGCTAATACTATTCCCTAACAAATATGTGAATTCATTAAAAGATTGAGCTTGCCTCATCTGTTTAAATAAAATATTTCATTTCATTAGTATAAAATAGCTTCATAAGGACAGAATTTAAAATTCCATTAAAATCAGCTTTTGATACCCATATTCCAGAAGTCTATAATGCATCTCTCTATTTCATTACAGTTAAGAGATTGACACAAGTGTGCTTTTTATTTCTGATATAATTTTAAAAGCCCAATTAATAGTACATAATTATCAGAAGACTGGCAAGACATTCTTTAACTTCAAAGTATTACATTTTATTGTTGTTCACTTTTCTTGATGAATTAGATTTAGCTTCTTTTAGGAGCAACACTCATTCGTTTTAAATATTTTTTGGCAATGTTTGCTAATGCCCTATCATTTTAAATGCACTCTGTCTTCATTGAGGAGTGTATTATATAAATATTACCTAGAAAATCAGCTCTAGTTTAATTTTTCCTTCCATATTTCTGATCACACCTCCTGTTTCATTGCAGAGATTGGTTGCTTTCCAAGATGCTAACATCATCTGTCAGTGGAGCTGAACTGTAGTCTTTATTGCCATTAAGTATTTTACAGTCCAGGCCCTTCAATGGGGACTCAGTCTTAAAAGCAGGAGTGGCAGTGAGCCAGCATTTCCTCTCCATTCAGAGAGACACACGCACACGCACATGCACGCGCACACACACACACACACACACACACACACACACACACACACACGGTCATTGCCATGAACTTGAAACTCAGACTGCGAACATACAAACTGCAAATTGTGGTTCTAGCTATTAAATTGGCCCCATTCCATCTCTTCAGGTCTGGCAATTTTAAACAAGCAGGACATGATTATCGATGGGCATCCTGTGCAGGTAGTGGGCAATGTTAACCTTAACAATCAAATCCATAATGCCCTGATGGGAAGGGGCAATCAGAAAAGGACCGTAAAGCCTGCTCTGCCGCAGCCTCTGACTTGCTAGGCTCCGGCCTGATTTAGAGTTCTTTTCTCCTGCTGGTACTTTTCTTTCTCCCCTGTTCAGTGTGCATACGCGCTTCCCAAGTCAATGATCCAGCTCTAATCACTGGAATTGAAACAACAATGTCTTTATTTAGAATAAGTTAACTATATGCTTCCAAGAAGTGAAAACCCATGTCTTGGACTGATTTTCAAAATCTTTTTGTACCAATTAGAGGACCTTACATGTCTGGGTATTCCAAATATCCCCATCTGAATGAAGGAATTATAGATTCAGTGCTTTAGGGCTGATGATTCTTTTTAATGTGCCCTTATTGATTTGAGACATCCATGAATCTTAAAAGCTACACTTGCCTATCATTAAATTATCAAATGATATTCAATAAAATTTAGCCAAATGTAGCAGTTGTGGATATAATCACATAAAAGTATTCGTTATCTAAAGTTCAGTGTTATATTTCACTGAAACAAAAACATCAGAAGTTCTTATTTTTAGATTTTTTGCTAGAAGAAATCAAAGAATACATTTTTGAAGGAGGCAATTTGTTTTTGTTCACCTAATAGCCTGCCTTAATGATATCTCTTGGTTTTAGAAAGAGAAGCCTCTTTATTTTACATCTTCTACATATTAATACCAGTGTTATTTCTGCATGCAGGGAAATACCATTCAATGTTTTTATAACAAATATGTCCTTCAGTTTCAAATGTAGTATGATTCAGCCTCAAAATTGGCAGCTGTTCTGTAACAAAAGAAAAAAAAAACTAAAAGTCAAATTTGTTAGAGTATTTTTTAAAACTGAACATGCATACTTAAATTCCATATTCTTATCTATTTTATATAGTATTAGTTCAACGTGTTTTGTTTTCCTGGCTTATCCAAAGTTTGTTCCCTTCTAGTTGTAGTTCAGAAGAAATTCTGTACCCACATTAAAAAAGATTCCTTGTGGTTTTTTTTTTTTTTTTTTCTGGCAAATTTCATTTATTAGCAATTAGTTACTTGATGGAGAATCTGGGGAGGCACTGCCAAGTACTGACCAATAAGAAATGAGGACAAAGAATTCTGAAATAAAAAAATAAATCACTGGGAATGGATAGCTAAATATATTCCATTTTTCACAGATACACATATATTAAAAGTGGATTGATTTGGGATGGAAAATTATTCTTGTTTATGTAGCTAGAAGAAATATTCTAGAAGACCTGCATTGAAAAGAATTCTGTCAGATATTATTAGTAGAGTCATAACACTGAACTGGAAAATAGAGACAAGATTTTTATATATGACTGGGCAGACCAGCTAAATAGGCTATGTAAATAGGTTATCAGTAAAGAGTGATTTCTAAAACCCAACCAAAAATATTGCTAGTTATTTTAATCTATCAGGGTCAGGGTCTTCAAATTTGAGAACCTGGCCCCTTTTCAGTTACTTTTGTTCAGTTATTACCTAGAGTACCCAAGTACTCTCTAGAAGTATATTTATTAGAACTATGGAAGGTGATTTAGCATCATAGAACAATGAAAAAGAATTAGTAGAGAAGATGTGATAGATTCTATGAAAGCTTATTTTGAGTAAATAAAAGTTAACCTTCTTTGTAAGAGTGTTGAGAATGAGAAAGTGACAAGAAGGGAGAAAACGGTGTGGAAGGGAATTGAAAAATAATCTTCAGTTATAATAAGCCTCTATGATTAGTTAACAATATATGTGCATGATTAAATAAGGCCCAACCACTGAGACATTAGACTGATTAGGGAAAGAAATTCTTCTAAATACTCCATTTAAAATAATTCTCCAGTTTTATTTTTTCAGTTTCATCAATCTCTTATTTTGTATTGTATCATTGCTTTTTAAATCCAAGAATTTGGTTTTGTCATCATATTAACTTAAGCATGCCTCTTTTTTTTTTTTTTTTTGAAATAAAATAATCTTTTATTTTATTTTTTTTTTAAATATTAAATTTTATTTTTATATTCCCCCATACAATTGCAAACGCCCAATTCTGACCCCAATCCTTTCCCCCCCACCCCCCAAAAAGTGTCTCTGGTTCATAGTTTTTTGTTGATTTTGATTTTCACTTTCTTATATTCATTTTCCTGGTCCCTTATTTAAGTTTTCTAGATTCCTGCTATGAGTGAGACCATCCGGTATTTTTCTTTTTCTTTTTGGCTTATTTCGCTGAGCATGATCCCTTCCAGTGCCATCCATGTTGCTGCAAATTGCATGTGTTTATCTTTTTTGAATGCTGAGTAATATTCCATGGTATATATGTACCACATCTTCTTGATCCAGTCATCTATTTTTGGGCATTTGGGTTGTTTCCAAAGCTTAGCTATTGTAAACAGTGCTGCTATAAACATAGGAGTGCAGGTGCTCTTTGGAATTGATGTTTCTGTGTCCTTTGGGTAAATACCTAGGAGTGGAATTGCTGGATCATATGGAAGCTCTATGTTTAGTAGGTCCAGAAATCTCCACACAGCTCTCCATAGTGGTTGGACCAGTTTGCACTCCCACCAACAGTGCAGAAGAGTTCCTTTTTCTCCACACCCTCGCCAACATTTGTTGTTGCTAGTTTTTTTAATATGTGCCATTCTCACTGGTGTGAGATGGTATCTCATGGTAGTTTTGATTTGCATTTCCCTGATTACAAGTGATGTTGAACATTTTTTCATATGTCTGTTGGCCATTTGCATTTCCTCTTCAGAGAAGTTTCTTTTTAGCTCTTCTGCCCATTTTTTGACTGGATTATTTTCTTTGTTGTTGCTGAGTCTCATCAGCTCTTTGCAGATTTTTGTGATCAGTCCTTTATCATTAGTGTTGGGTGCAAAAATGTTCTCCCAGTTGGTGGGGTTTCTCTTTGTTTTTGTTATTGTCTCTTTTGCTGTGCAGAAGCTCTTTAATTTGATGTAGTCCCAGCTGTTTATCTTTCTCTTCACTATCACTGCTTTGGGTGATGTGTCTGTAAAGATGTCTTTGATGTGCAAATCCCATAGTGTTTCGCCTATATTTCCTTCTATGTATTTTATGGTTTCAGGTCTTATGTCTAGTTCTTTAATCCATTTTGAGTTGATTTTTGTGTATGGTGTGAGGTAGTGGTCAAGCTTCATTCTTTTGCATGTAGCGACCCAGTTTTCCCAGCACCATTTATTGAACAAACTTTCTTTGCTCCAATGCATAGTCTTTGCTCCTTTGTCAAAGATTAGTTGACCATAAATCTGTGGGTTTATTTCTGGATTTTCTATTCGATTCCATTGGTCTGTATGTCTGTTCTTGTTCCAATACCATGCAGTTTTGATGATTATGGCTTTGTAGTATAGTTTGAAGTCTGGGA